TGGAACTTGCTGGGATTAAAAAGAAATGGTTTTGTCCTCCTCCTGCATGGAGACCATGTGCAGACCTCACTTGCAGGTAGTGCTGGTACGTTATAGCAAACTTTTATCAGCATGCTGAGGATGAGGGGTGCTATGTTTGGTCGTCTTGCTGCTTGCTGTGCAGGTGTGGGAGGCCCAGGCTTGGGTGGAGTGTGTGGAACATGTCATGTCACAGCCTCATACCCGACTTGGAAGCAACTAACTGGTGTGATCAAACCTTACAGGTGGTGGTGGCTGAGAACTTTGATGAAATTGTTAATGCAGAAGACAAAGATGTCCTGATAGAGTTCTATGCACCATGGTGCGGCCACTGCAAGAATCTGGAGCCCAAATACAAAGAATTGGGGGAGAAGGTAGGTCTGGAACTCTTGCAAAAGTGAACTAGAATTTTGCAGCACTAAACAATCCTGCAGGTTGTTTGTAGCCTCTGTGATAATGGGACATAATTGTGCCTTCCTGAGGACTTGGAGTTTTGGCATCTGGTGAGTGCAGATGTCCGTCAGCAGGATCTGTGGTAGCAATCACAGTGGTAGGTTTAGTCTGTTGCCCTTGGCTGTGGCTGATTCAGTGACTGGCCTCAACTGGCCAAGCTTCCTTTTGGATCTTTTCCATCTGCATGATGATAGTCTCCCATTTGGGGAGGGATGGTGAGATGGCATCTCCTGCGTGCTGTCCTCTGACACTGCTATCCCAGCCGTTGCTGACTGCTGGGTTCCTGGAGTTTGGGATTGGTTACTAATGGGCTCATTCTACCCACAGCTCAGCAAAGATCCCAATATCATCATTGCCAAAATGGATGCTACAGCCAATGATGTGCCTTCTCCCTATGAAGTCCGAGGGTAGGTCTGACTGCTGTGACTCCATGTGTTAGTGGGAGGGTCCGGCTCTGTCTGCCGTCGGCTACAGCACTAGAGCTGGAAGAGCCTCACAGGGAGGGTGTGTGTGAGGACTGACATGCGACTGCTGAGCAATGGCTTGATTTGGAGAAATGAAGAGTGGAAGAAAAGGACATTGATCTGCCTCGATTCTCCAGGATTCTGGTGTCCTGGCTCTGCCTGGAGGCCTGCCCTGCTGCTTTGGAATCTGCTGTGATTCTGTTCCTAGCAGTGTGAAAACAAATCTGGACTTGCTGTTCCAAAAGCAGTCAGCCAGCAAACTTGGACCTGTGAGCTCAGCAAGCTCTGCAGACCTGGCCAGGCCCTTGGAGGCCACACCTGCTGCCTCAGAGCTGCCAAAGCTGTGCCATGTTAAACCAGGGCAGTGTGGGCTGCAAGTCCCTTCCGTATGGGCTGGTCTGACAGAAATCAAAGCATGTCAGGAGCTCAGGTGTCCCTTCTCTCTCCCCAGCTTCCCCACCATCTATTTTGCTCCAGCTGGCAAGAAGCAGAGTCCAAAGAAGTATGAGGTGAGTATTTTGCTGTTCTTGCTGCTTTACAAAGAAGTGAAGAGCATCCGGGTGTCCAAATTACACTCAAGCCGCTCTGGAGTTGGGGGTGGCTCTGTGTCCTGTTGCCCTGGGAACGCACCTGGTGGTACCTGCTGGGAATGTTGCACTGCATGCTGCAGGCCCTGGGGAGAGCTATGCTTGCAGTCACCTGGGTCTCCTGCCTGGCACCTGAACCCCTCTCAGCAGAGGGGAAGCCCAGGGCGGGTACAGGCCCTGCCTCACTGTCATCTGTTTTCTGCAGGGGGGCAGAGAAGTGAGTGACTTCATCAGCTACCTGAAGCGGGAGGCAACCAACACTCCTGTGCTGCAGGAGGAAGATAAATCCAAGAAATCCAAGAAGAAGGTGAAGGAGGATTTGTAAAGTACCCACTTGCTATCTGGTCAGGATGAGCTCTTTGTGAATTGGGGAAGCACTGGGCAGACTGGGGCCAGTTCTGGGCTGTGGAGAGCCAATGGGCTGATGGCCCTCAGCTGCTGTATCTAGTAATGTTTAATTTCCTGCCGTCTCTTAGCTGCACTGTTGTTGGGCTCCCCAGACTGGTTTGTTTTGTGGTTTGGGAAGGGTGGGGGATACAGTTATTTTCTAATTTTTTTTGTACATTTGGAGAAGTGAAACAATAAAATGACCCCCTTAAGACCAAGTGTCTCTGTCCTGGGGTGACCTGTCATACCTAACACTGGGATCCTTCTCTTCACAGACAGCAGCTCTCTGCTGTGAGTCATTCCCTTCAGTGAGCTCTCACACGTCTGTTCCTAACCATTGAGCTCAGCCGTCTACCCTATTCTCCTCCTTCCTCAGCTACCACAGTCCCTCCAGAACATAGCAGCAGCAACTGTCCCAGTGTGCTGGGCTTCAGGTGCTCCATTTACACACATTTTGGGCTTTGGGACTCTGATCACAAGTGCCTTTGCTGTCTGTGTGCTGCCCCAGTGAGTTCAGAGGAACGTGATGCTCACTGTGACTGTTGGATCAGAGCAGTGCAAGCACAGGGAGCAGGCTGGCATGGGGCTTGCTCAGCAGCAGAAATAAATGAGCTTTGAAGCTGGTGCAGAAGTAGTCAGGTGTAGGGGAGGAGTGCTACTTCCTACAGACTCTGCCCAAACACAGGTAGGGTCTGGGCTGAGAGTTTCTCATAGCCAGGTGCTTGGCTGTGGTGAGGGCAGTTAAGACCAGTTAATTGTAAGATCATTTTGTCTCTTGGTAGGAAACAGGCTGATAGCTGAGTTACTCTTCAGGAGGGAGAGGAATAAACCCTGTGTTGTGGTTGGATGGTGTGGGCTGTGACTGACCAGGATATCCTACTTTCCTCTGGGAAAGGCAGGAGTGAGATGGGCTGACCAGGGAGGGGCTGTTGCCCTGATTCTTGTGCTGCATGCAAGTTGAAGAGGGCACTGCTGTGTGGCAGCAGTTACCAGGGCAAGAGCCAGAGCTTGCTCTATCTCTGGATTCCTCCCCCACAACTCAAAAGGCTGGGCACGTTATTTATCGCTGCTGGAATTCTCCAGGTACAGTAGCTCATACAAGGCTTAGCACACACTACTCTGGCTACAGCAGCTGTGCAGTACAACACTTTCTTCCCCGGCTGCATCAGCAGCTCAAACAACATCTTCCTCCTGTGCTCTGCTGCTCTGGCAGGTGCTCTGTGGCCCAGTACAGGTCTAGAGGCTCCTTGGGGGGAGGATATAATGTCCAGTGGTCCCTGCACCTCAGACTAGCAGGAGTCCCACATCTGGCCGTGGGCTCCAGGCACTGCTGCAAGAAACAGGAACACAACAAGTTCTCCTGACAGCTCACAATTACCCCTGTAACACCAAACTGGAGCACTGCTTCATTGGTGGGTAGGGCAGTGCCCTCAGTCAGGGAGAGCCTGGGAAGCTGTTCTCATCCTGGCTTTGCTCCCTGGACTGTGACTCCAGACCTGGTGGCAGCTGGGGACTGAGCCACTATCCAAAGTAACACATCCCCCTTGGGCTGGCTCAGGCCTCAGCAAAAGGTCTCCTCTGCCTCTCCCCTGCAGCCACGGCCTCCTGCTCTCCCCCAGGGAGCAGGGAATGAGCTGGCTTCAGGTGCTACAGGACAGCTGGAGCAGCAGGCACCGCTTCAGAGACAGGGCTGGATAAGGAAGGAAAAAAACTGCAACAGCAGTTTGCTTAGGACCTCCCACTTCTTTCAAACTGCAGAGCCATTCTTTTGGTATGAGACAGCTTCTGGTGGAGGTATTCACAGCAATTCTTCTCTTGCTGGTAGCTGGGATGCATCTGGAGAGGAAAAAATATATATGGATCAGCTCCAGAAGAGAAATCAGTCCATGCCCTGCATCCAGCCTCACCTTGAGGTGGTGGTACTCAAACACAATTGTAGTTTCAAGTACCTGAAATCCAGAGATGCAGTGGGCAGGACCCAGGACCAGAGCACGGCTGTACGGTGCCACGGTGCCTGGCTCTCCTGCTTGCCTTGTGTTCCTCTGTTCCTTGCTTCAGCCTCTTCATCTTGGCTTCCAGTTGCACAAACCTCCAGCTCATGCTGCTGATATGAGCATGCAGTCGCAGTACTCTGTCTACACTAAATGCTGCTCTGTGGAGCAGGCGGTGTGGTACCACCTCCTGCAACCAGGAAATGCCTGTTCTCCTGGGGCCTGCGAGACCTGCGTGGCAGAGCAGGGCCCATGCTCCTGCTGAGACCTGAAGGGCGGTGAGCAGGCAGGGCTGTGCCCAAACTTACCTTATAGCCATGGGCGATGAGGCAGGAGCTCATCTCGACCCCTCCATGCTGTGGGGCTGGGCCAAATTACACCAAGCAACAGGGAGCCTGTGGGTGCTAAGCTCTCTTCCTGTAAGTAATCCAGGATCTCTGCTGAGGAGGAACTGCTCACCTGGGACCTGCATCTGGCAAGGAGCAGAAGATCACAAGGGTTAAAACTCTGGAGCCCCTCTCCTCCAACTTGGCCAGGACCTTGGGCTTACTGGAAGACCTGTTCTCCAAAGTCTAGCAGTTGCACAGCTCTGGTGGGAATAGAGCCCCTGGCCCACCAGGGAGATCCCAAGGGCCTTTTGGGAAGCCCCTGGGGATGGTGTGGTGCAGGGCACAGGGGATGCCCTGCAACTGCAGCAGAGATAGCCTGAGGCCATGAGGTTTCACCCAGGCTTGCAACGTCCTTGTGTTTGTCGTGGCCTTCTGGCCAAAGCCTCTTTGCTCCCCCCTGCACGCCCCATCCCGGCTGCCCTGGGCTCTCCAATCCCCCCAATCCCCTCACTCCCCAGCTGCACTGGAAGGCGATCACGGGCCCCGGCGCTCTCTGCAACAACAGCGAGCGTCGGTAAGTCCCTCTGTTGCCCGGTCCCCCCTGCCAGGCCCGATCCCAGCCGCCGCCGCCCGCAGCCCCGCAGCGCCCGCGCCGCCGCCGCGATGTGCACGTGCAGGAAGCTGAGCCAGAGACCCGGTCCGCCGTCCGGGACCGGAGATGCCCGCGCAGCTACGCCCGCGGCATTGCACGGCGTGCGCGACAGCGGCGGGCGGGCGGTCCCGGGGGGCAGCGGCGGGCGGGGCGGGCGCCGGGAGCCCCGCGGCGGGGCTCGTCCTGAGCCGGCTATTTTTGCCGCCGGCCCCGGCTAATCCCCTGAGCCGCTTCCCAGCATTAGGTAACGGCGCGGCGGGATGCGCTCGGCGGCGGCCCCGGCCCGGGCGGACCCCGGCAGTCGCCGCGCGGCGGAACCGGTGGCGACGCGCCCTGTGCGTGCTGGGGGCCGTGGGCACCCGCCGCCGAGCCCCGGGGACGCCCGGACCGAGGCCAGGTGGTAGCGGCGTGCGGCGAGGCGGGGCAGGGGCGGGCATGCCGGGCCCCTCGCCCGGCGGCTCCCCGGAGAGGGAGACAGGGGCAGGCGGGCGGCCGCGGGGGCCGGGCAGGGACCGGCGGGTGCGGTTCCGGCTGCCCCACACGGCTATCGCGCTGCCGACGGTGCGCGAGGAGGAGCGGCTCTTCTACCGGCGGCTGGAGGCACTGGCGGTGCCGGGGCCAGGCGGCTTCGGGCCACTCTTCGCCGCCGACGGCTGGAGCGACCTGACGGGTGAGAGCCCTCAGGCAACCCTGGGGCGAACCAGGCCGGGAGTCGCGGGCTGTGAGGGGCCCGGGGAAAGCCGGGCAAAGGATGCCGGTTTCGGGGATCCAGGCTGGGCTCTCAGCGCCGTCTCCCCCGCAGACGACCGGCTGCTCCGGAAGCGCGTGGTGCGGGCCGGGCTGGGCGGGCCACAGCCGCGGCCGGGCCAGGAGGTGTCGGTGAAGGTGCTGGGCGCCCTGGAGGACGGCGGGCTGGTGGAGCGGGACCCGCGGCTCACCTTCGTGCCTGGCCACGGGGACGTCGTGCAGGTGAGCTCAAACCAGTGCACTGTTCGGTGCGGCGCAGGCTCAGCGTCGCCCGGTGCCGCCGCGCCTCATTAGCCTCGCCATGCCCATCCGCAGGCGCTGGAGCTGGGCGTCCCAACCATGCAGCCCGGGGAGATCTCCTTCTTCCTCGCCGCCTGCCCCTACGCCTATGGCCGCCCGGGCAGGTAAGGCGGGTGGGCAGGGGGAGCCATCAGGCAGGGGCCGGGAGGGCAGACGGACCGGGGCAGGTGGATGGGGACAGGGGCAGGTGGATGGGGCCGGGAAGGCAGGGTGGGCAGGGGACCGGGGCGGGCAGGGGGCAGCCGGTGCTGTGCCCGCAGGGAGCCCGACGTGCCGCCCGAGGCGCCGCTGCTGTTCGAGGTGACGCTGCTGGAGGTGCGGGACGGCCCCGACCCGCAGCCGCTGCCGCCCGCCGCCCGCCTGCGCCTGGGTTCGCAGCGCAGGGAGCGGGGCAACTTCCATTTCGCGCGGGGCGACTTCGCGGCGGCGCTGCGCTCGTACCGGCTGGCCCTGCACGCCCTGGATGGCCCCGCTACCGGTGAGACCGGCCGGGAGGGAGGGCCCGGGGCGGTGGGGCCGGGACGCTGAGACCGCCGCTCGCCCCGCAGCGCCTCCCGGGCCCGAGGAGGAAGAGGAGCTGCAGGAGCAGCGCGTGAAGTGCCTCAACAACTGCGCGGCCGCCGAGCTGAAACTGGGGCGGGTGGAGGAGGCGCTGGCAGCCTGCGAGGCGGCCCTGCGGATCAGCCCCGACAACGGCCGGGCACTGCTCCGGCGGGGGCAGGTGGGACCGCCCCGCTCCGCCCCTCTTGGCGCCCCTCGGCCCGGCCGCCCGCTACCCCCAACTCCTCTGCCTGTAGCTGCTGGCGGAGCAGGGCCGGGACGCAGAAGCCGCGCTCGTCCTGAGGAGAGCCCTGGAGCTGGATCCGGCCAGCAAGGTGCGGGGGCGGGAGGGGGTGGGTCCCGCAGGCTGGTACCGGGAGCGATGGGACGGGCGGGGCTCTCGCAAGAGCCAGTGCCGGGAGCAGTGGGGCGGGAGGAGATCCCGCAGGAGCCGGGACCGTCGGGAGTCCCACTGGAGCCCTGTTCGCCACAGCTGCCCTTCCTCCCGCAGGTGATCCACGCCGAGCTCTCACGGCTAGCGAAGCGCCAGGGCGCCCCATCTAGCACCGCCTCGCAGGACCCCCGCCACGACCCGATGCCGCCGCCGAGCCCCGGGTGCGTAGGCGAATTTGGCTGTGCGGGGACGGATACCCGTCCCGCACCGTCTTGGCGTGGGTAGCACCCACGGCCGTCCCTCCCTGTAGATCTCCTGCACCGCCCACGGCGGAAGGAGCGGTCTGAGCGGCCCCGCAGCGCACCGGAGCCCGAGCGAGGAGAGAGGAACGCTCCCGCACCATCCTCCCTGCATTGCCCCGCACTCCCTGGGGTGGAGAAGAGCGCTGCAGTGGGGGAGGACGGCGGGCGGGAGGGCTGAGGGGAAGAGCGGGGCTGTATATCCCCCTCCCTCTCCTCTCCGTCCCGCATCGCTCCCCCCTCTCCGCAGCGCTTTCCGCCCGGCTCATGACGTCACAATGGGGCGTGGCCCCGGCGTCACACCCCCTGCGCGAGGGGTGGCTGTGGCGCGTGCGCCCCATCCCCGGCTTTTTCGCCCCCGCCGGCAGAACGGCGGTCGTAGCCCGCGGCCAATCAGGCGGGGTCTGGCCAGAGAGACGCACCAGTGGGAGTGCAGCAAGGGTGGGATCGGCACTGTGATTGGCTGTGACTGCCTTTAAACTCTGGCACGGGGCGGGGCGTGGGGGGGGGTCAGTGCGGGACGTGGCGGCGGAGCGGAGGTGGGAAGGAGCGGCGCCATGACCCGTGAGTGTGGGGGGGGGGACCTGAGCTGGGACCCGTGAGTGTGGGCTGGCCCGGGGGTGCCGTACCATGACCCGGCCGTGCCACGGCCCAGTGGCGCGCCGGGACCTGGCCTGCGGGCAGCGGCTGGGCTGGGGCGGGAGGGTGGCGGAGCCCGTGAGCGCGGGGTGCGGGGCGGGCCGCGCCGCGGGGCCGGCCGCGCTGAGGCGGCCGCGCCGTGGCAGGCGGAAACCAGCGCGAACTGGCGCGGCAGAAGAACCTGAAGAAGCAGAGCGACTCGGGCAAGGGCAAGCGGCGGGACGACGGGCTCTCGGCCGCCGCCCGCAAGCAGAGGTGAGCGCCGGGCCGGCCCCGCCGGCCTCCCCCGCCCCGCTCCCTGCTCCCGCCCTGTGGCGGTGCCGGCCCCGCCGCCAGCCCCGCCGCGCTCCCCGCAGGGACTCGGAGATCATGCAGCAGAAGCAGAAGAAGGCTGACGAGAAGAAGGAGGGCAACAAGTAGCGGGCGGCCGTGCCAGGCCGCCGCCCCAGGGCCGGTCCCGCCGGCAGGATGCCCCGCACCGCCCTGGGCCGGGCCCCCCGGCCGCGCCCCGCACCGCGCGGCGCTGTCCCCTATTAAAGTAGCTGTGGAGCCCTGCACGCCGCGTCTGCTCGTCCGTCCGCCGGGCGGGGGGCGGGGGGGAGCGGGCACCACCGCTGAAACGATCGCGGCCGCGGAGAGAAGGACCAAGCGCGGCGGTGGTGGAGCGGCGGCATCTTCACGGTGAGGAACAAAGGTGGGGCCGGGCCTGGGCGGTCCCTGGGACATCACCGGGGGTCAACGCGGGGGATGGGTTTGAGGGGCGAACGCCCCGGGGCGGGTGGGAGAGCGGGGAGGCTCGAGGAACGAAGCCGGACGGGATGGCGCCGGAGCGGGCCGAGGCGCAGCCGGGGCTCGGGGCCAGTCGGAGGGCGGTGGTGGAGAGATGGCGGCCGGGCCTGCGCACCGACGGGGAACCGCGCTGCGGCACGGCCGGGGTGGGCCGAGCCGTAGCCGCGCGTTCCCCGCGCTATGCCCGGCAGCAGCGCGGAGCCACCCGCGGGGCAAAGCCGAGGTCCAGCCCAGCGCTGAGGCCGTTGTTCATCGTCCTCTTAACCTCCCTGCAGGGGCAGAACAGCAGCGTCAGCCCGGCCTGGCAGCACGGGGCCCGGTCCCGCGGCGGCCGGGGGCTCCTCACCGGGCGAGGTGCAGCACCGCCTCCACTACCTTGGTGCCGTCCTTGGCGCTAGTCTTGCAGAAGAGGCAGCCGTAGGCCTGGGGGCGGCAGCAGGGGTCGGGGCTCGGCTGCCCCAGGGGCCCCAGGAAGCTTCTGCTCACTATGGCCAGGTGCTTCCCACGGGCTGTGTAGACCCTCCCTGCCTCCACCAAGCCGGGCCGCAGGTCTGTCTTGTTCCCTATCAGCATGAGTGGCAGTGGCTGCTCGGTGACCTGCAGGAGAGAAGGGTGGCTCGGGGTTTTCTGGCAACCTGCAGCCCTGGCCCATGTCCTTCGGGTGCCACACTGGCCACCTCCTATCACACCTATGCAATGCCTGGGACCCAAGTGCTGTTCCAGACACCAGCAAAAGGGAAAAAGTCAAGGGAAGTGCTCTTGCTGCTTCTGGAGGCCCCTCTTGCCTGGCAGCAGCTGAGCTCTCTCCTGCCTCATTCCTGCTCCCCAGGACAGGCTGGGGCACAGCACAACCTAACCCCCTGGAAGCCCCAAGGCTCCTACCCCTCTCCTGAGGGCTTGGTGCTTCTTGGACCCTTCCCATCTTGATGTCCTCAATCCACTGGCGGATGCTGCGGAAGCTGCTTGGGGAGCTGATGTTGTAGAGAAGCAGCACGCCATGGGCTTTGTGGAAGTAGGACGGGACAATGCTCTGGTACCTGGGGCCAGGGGTGTCACTGCTGCTGGTGCAGTGACTGCCTGGTGTGGTGCAGCTGCTGGAACCCTGGTGCAGCCCCGGGACCCCTGGCCCTGCGCTCTCACCTCTCCTGCCCAGCTGTGTCCCAGATCTGTAGTGTGGTTTGCTCCCCATCCACCAGCAGCTGCTTGATCTGGAAGTCCACTCCTGCCAGAAGGGACAATCAGGCCCTGCTCCTCTGCCCCAGCTGTGGAGTCAGTGGTGCTGGGGGCTCATACCAAGGGTGCTGGGGATGTCTCCTTAGAACTTGTTCATGCAGAGTTGCAGTAGGAAGCTGGACTTTCCCGTGTCCCCATCCCCTGCCAGCACTAGCTGATATATGGGACAGAGGAGCATGGATCCCTCCGTCCTATCACACCCCTGCTGAGACAAGGGCGTTGGGCAATAGCACAGGAGTGTGCTCAGCTCCCCCAGCCTGGCCCTCACCCTCACATGGGGTGTGCTGGTTACCTCTGGGGTGAAGGCAGGAAGCTTCCTCTCGACAAAGCATCTGGCAGTGCTCTGGGGTCCCTCTGCCTCACACTTTGATGAGCTGGGGGCCTGCTGGGTGATATGTGTACAGTAGGGGGCCCAAACCCAGGAGCTGCAGGCGAGCAGACCTGTGTCCCTCTCTGGGCCAGGGGCAGGTCCCTTGCCTCAATGCTCTGGTGGGAGCTGGGGCAAGGCCCATCCACTGAGTTGTGGCTGCTCACACTGCTGAGTGAGGAGGCTCTGTCTGTGCTGGAGGCTGAGCTCTGCAGCTGTCCAAGGCCAGCACTGCTGCAGCCCACCCTGTCTGCCTGGGAGGCTGCGCTGGAGAGCCAGGGATGTGGGGAGCTGTCATCCCTTCTGTGCAGAGGGTAATGCTGAGGGAGGGGCTGCAGCGATGCTGCCCCTCCGTGCTCCATTGCTCACCTGCTGCAGTTCCTCTGCAGAGCAGAGGGTGTTCAGCACTGCCAGGGTGGGGGCTGTGTGGCTTCCAGTGGATCATGCAGATCCCTGTGTGCTGTGAGCCATGGTGTTGGTGGGGCAAGTGAGGGGAACCAAGCCAGCCTGCCCTGCACAGGGGCGGTGACATCACACAGCTCCCCTGCCCTTGTTCCCTCCCCTCCTGCATGGATGACAGCCCCTATGCCCCAGGTCTGCAGGGCTTGCTGCCACAGGCCCATGCCACTGGGCTGAGCCATGGCTGCTGCTGCTCTCCCAGAGGCTCCTGCTCACCATCCTGGCATGAGAGAGCAGCTGGACCTGGCCCAGGGAGGGCTGTACCCACAGCACTGGCACCCCTGGGCAGGGGCACATTCCCTGTTATCTCAGTGGCTGCTCCCCTGCTGCTGCCTGGCTGTAGCTTGCGACTGCCCGGTTCTCCTCCACCCTCCCTGAAAGGCCAATGCTCCCAGTGGGGACCTGGCATCCTCCCAGCAGGGCCTCACAGGTCCTGCCTGCAGCTGTCACAGGGCCTGTGTGGGATTGGGACACCTAGGGAGCCCCAAGGACACCCGGTGTCAGTGTGTAGCAGCAAAGGGCCTGGAGGGATGTGCTGGTGGCTCCAGGCAGGCTGCCCAGTGGCCCATGCTCATGGCATGGATAAGCAAGGCAGCACTTCCCAGTGGGCACTGGGCCCTGCCTGCAGTACAGGGGTGTGGCAGAGCCCCCCCACCTGCACTGGACTCTGTGGGCACCTGCAGCAGTGCTGCTGGATTGGGGTGCCCTGTCAGGCTGGGACAGCCCTGCCATTCCCTCTCCGTGGTGCCACCTCTTGTGCTGCTGGGTCCGCCCAAAACCCCCCCTCAGCTGCTCCAGCTCTGCAACAGCCAGGAGATGCCGCACGCAGCCCGGTGTTCTCCTGGGCAGGGAGAGATGGGTCTCCACTGCTGCACAGTCCAGGACACTGGGAAGTCCTTGGGTGCCAGAGGCTGCAGGGACCCCCCTCCCCAGCCCTACCTGGCTGATGTCCCCAAGCTGGTGCCACAGCTGCCCATCCCTGAGCCCCATGTGGGTTCCTGCATCTCCTGGGAAAGGAGAGGTGTGAGGGGCAGCCCTGGGGCACTGCAGCCTCCACTGTTCCATGAGGGACCCCACAAAGGCTGTATTGCTGCACTGGGATCAGTTGGACCCCAAGAGCATCCACATGCTCTGTAGGTGGGGGCCCAGGGCTGCTGCAATCCTGTGGCCTGCTGACACTGTGCCCTCCTTGGGAGCAGTGGCCATAGGCTGAATACCCTCCTGCAGTCCCAGGGCAGTGCCCGTGCTCAGCACCTCCTGCTTGTCTCCCCTCTCCAGCATGGCCACCTGAAGGTGCCCTCAGCTATGGCTGCTGTGTGGCCAGTGCTGGGGTGCTGCAGGCACCCCACTTTTCCCCCCTCTGGCTGCAGCCTGCGTGGGGTGATGGCACAGGCTCAGCTCAGAGTTTTGTATAAAAATGTATTGAAGGAGGTATTTACAGTGAGCACATCATGGCAGGGGTGGCCAGGCAGAGCCCTGCTCCTTGAGTGCACCCTGCGGGTGCCAGGGCATCCAGGCTGAACACCTGCCTCTGGCTTGCTCCAGCCCCTTGGGTGGTCCTGGCTCAGCACAGGGCTAGTATCCCTGGAAGCATTTACCTTCCAGGTTCCCCTCAGGCTCTGAGATGCCAACGTCTCCTGGGATGGGGGGTCAGGGGAGATCAGGAGGACTAGGCAGTGCCAGGGCACAGGGTGCAGCAGGGACCAGCCCCAGGTACAGTTCGTCCTGGCAGGGACTATGTGGAGACATTGATGCGCTGCGGGGCACGTCGTCGCCGCACAACGCGCGGCCCCGTGCTGCTGCGCCGGTGCTGTGGGGAGCTGTGGAGGCAGAAGGGGCTCAGCAGCAGCCAGAGGTAGAGCAGGACACAGGCCCAGCATGAGGACACCTTCACCCAGAAGGTTGACCAGCTGCCGTGCGTGAAGGTGGTCTCCAGCACCGCGTTTTCATAGCTGGTGGGAGAGGGCAGGTG